TTTTCTTTACTGCTTTCTTAATCACTTCTAAATTCTCTTTGATTGTCTTTGAACTGTAGAGTAGATCAATATCATCTACATAACTTGAAGATCTCACTATTTTCATCTCTCTATTCTTGAATAGATATGCAGTATATATTACAAATAAAACAGGTGAGATTGGAGATTCTTGTGATACTTCTATTTTTATCTCAGTTTTATCTTGTTTTCTTTCATCAAAGAATAGTTGTATAATTCTTTTAGACATGAAACAATTGACTCATTTTATTAGAGAAAGTGACAGTTTTAACATCTTCAAAGTTTGAATCATCTTAGACTTTGACACATGATTAAATGCATCTTTTATATCAATAAAAACTGCAGTTAAGACCAGGTCTTCATACTTTGCTACTTAAATATCATAAATAACTGAGAGAACAGTATCAATTGCAGAAGATTGTTTTCTATCTCTTATTTATTCATTAAATAGAAGAGAATCACTAATAGAGCTTATAAAAGATAATCTAGTAGCTATTATCTTTTCTAGAATTTTTCTCAAACAGTTCAACAGAGATATTACTCTATATAACTTAGAAATTGAAGTCTTTCTATTAGGTTTTGTAAGGATTACTCCAGTAGCTTCTCTCCAGCATTCAGAATGATAACCATTTTTTAAGAGATTGAAAAAGAGCTCAAAATATTCATTCTTCAAGTAGGAATATGTGTTTTGAATAATTGAGGGATTAATTGAATCAGGCCCTGCAGCAGTTTTAATTGAACTTGAGAATATTGCTGACTCTAGTTCATCATATGTAAGCTCAGGCCATTCCCAGTTATTTTCATCAATATATTTATGAAATGACATATTCTCCTCTTCTAAATGTGATGAGTTTTGAAAGAGAATTCTTATAAAAGCTTGACATTTTTTCTCAAAAGAATTTGCTGTATATAATTCATTCTGAAATTCATATTCTAAGATTGAAAGCTTTGCTACACTTCTTGTTTTAATATAGTTGAAGGCTTTGAAAACTTCTTTTCCTTATGCTTCTTCAAGAAATTTGTTTCAGTAATCTGTTTTGACTTTTTTAATATCTGAAAAATATTCATTTTGAATAGCTTTGAACTCTTTATCAGATATTAAGTGATTCTTTCAATCTCTCTTAGCAGTGGCTAATTACTTTCTTTTAGAAGTGATATTCTCATTTCATCAAGGTTTGAAATACTCAGAAGACTTTTTCTTTGAAATATTTTCTTCAATACTTGTTAGAAGAATAGATGTAATCAGCTTTGCTCTATTCTCAAGCATTTCATTTGATATATCTTGACTTTGATTTCAATAGAGCTCACTCTGCCTTTCAGATTTCAGCTGTTTTACTCTTTCTTCAACTGCTTTTCAATCAGCTTTTTCAAAGTTATACTGATTAGAGAGAAGAGGATTTTCACTTCTTTATTTTTCACTCAGTTCAATATCAAATTGAATGATCTCATGATCTGATCCTGAGATTTCATTTGAATCAATAAACCAGTTTATAAGTCTTTTTTCAATTAGATTTTATGACATGAAAGTTAGATCTATAATAGATTTCTGTTTCATGCCTTTTCTAAAGAATGTTTGTTGATCAGACTTGTTAACTAAATCTATTGAATGCTCAAAAGTTCATTCAATCAGTTTATCTGCTCTTACTGCTCTTGTGCACTCTGAGTTTCATCAGAGATGATGTGCATTGAAGTCTTCTACAATTATAGAGTTTTTTAAGAGAGTTATATTCAAAAATCCTCTATCAATTATCCAGGTATTGTTGTTTTCTTTCAATGATTTTTCATTATAGATATTTATAAGTTGAATAGTATCAAACTCATTATCTTTATCTATAATGTCACCCACTAGAATGTCAGAGTCAGATATGATATCAAATCTCAGATTAAATTGATATCTTGATCTTTTTCTCTCATAGATTACTACTCTTGATTTTATCTCAGATTTTTCAGAAAGAAAGCAGTAATAGCTTGAATGAGAAATGATGTACTTTTACTCAGTATCAAAGTTTAGTTCTTGAAGAAGTACAAAGTCAACTTTTTATTCAAATGCAATCTGAAGACAAGAATAAATGCAATTTGAGTTTCTATTCACATTGTTTTAAATAAATGTGATTTTTGAAGAGTTTTTAAACTTTTTTTGTTGTTTTTGTTGTATATTCATACTAAAAGAGAGTGAAGATATAGTAGAATCTAATCACTATCACCAGATAGTAGATTATAACTATTTTGAAAAGCAGGAATCTCAACTGCTTGCATTCTATCTAGTTTATCATCAGAGTCATTTCTCAATTCTCTAATCTTAACAGGTGTTTGAGGATTCAAATTCTGTTTACATTTAGCTGGAGAATTGGAGTTTGAAGACCTAGATAGTTGAGAGTTTCTTCTTTTTAAGCTTGCAGTTGTGAATTTACTGGCTTGACTTTTCTCTTCAGTTTTAGATTCACTTTGAGCTTCATCTTTTCTCCAGTTCTTCTGAGTTCTTGAAGCAAATACACATTCTTTTGAGCTAGATGCATGTTTTTCTTTGCAATTGAAGCACTTAAGCAGAGTATATTGACATATTTCATCTCTTTTTGAGCATGTTTCATATTTATGCTCACTAGTTTTGTGATCTCTAGCACAGAATGCATATTTTGAGTCTCTGAAACAAGAGATTGCAAAGTGTTCATATCTTTAACAGTTTGAACACTGTGTTTGAGCTTTGAGATTCATTCTTGAATCTTTGTATTCATGAACTCTCATTTTCAAACCTGCTACTCTTACTTCAGAGATTCTTGACTGTTCAAGTGTTTTTATATACACTAGAACAGAGGCATTTCTTCTACTCTGTCTGAACTCAATTGAATTAAGTCATACAGACTCTTTTCTCAGTTGAATAGAATTGTATTCTTCTAATTCATTTTTGAGAAGCAGCATTTCTTCCTCACAGTCAAAAATTTCAACTGAAATATCATGAAGAATGAATTTGTCTCACTTTTCATCTCTTTCAGATAGAATTATTGTATTCAGTAGAGATTCTATTGCTGATTTTCAGAGATTCTCATTCTGAATAAGGAATTCTGCACTGAATTCAGGCATTGTAGTCAAAATAATAGAGTTTTCAAAGAAAGATGACTCAATTGAAGCTATGACTGGTTTTTGAACTTCAATATCAGTCATTAACTGAGAAAAGAACTGCTGATTAATTTCATTTCTAATTCTGAAGATAAGATTTGAGTTTAGCTTGTTTTTTTGCAAGCTCTTCTGATTTAAGACTTTAAGAATAAGTCTTCTATTTCTGAAGATTTGAAAGTTCTTCTCTTTTTGCATTTCTTTTTTTTCCTTTCTATGAACAGAGATCTGAGAAATATTCTTCTCAGTTTTCTCAGAATTTTGAGCAGATTTTGAACTAGCAGGTTTGAAGACAGCAGATTCTGCTACTTGAGCATATGTTTTCTTCTGATTTGAAGAAGAAGATGAAGAAGTAGAAGATGAAAAAGAGTCAGTGACTGTACTGAAAGATTTCAATGTTTTTTGAATTGTGTTTAAAATTCCAAGTTTGAACTTGATCACTTCTTATAGTTGTCTAGCCTGAGCATGAAGAATTAACAGAACTTCTTCATTCTTCTCACTCAGACACTGTTTTCCAAGAATTTTGCTTGCTTTTTCCAGTTCCTGTATTTCAAGAACTTGTTGTTTCTCTATTTCTTCCTTCTTTCTTCTCTTTAGAATTTCAATCTCAGGAACAGCATCTGGGAAAACATCTTTTTCCACATCAACTGAGTGTACTCTTAAACTCATTTTACTCACTGAATGAATAGTTGATCAGACTGTTTCAATTGAGAGATTTATCAGTCTATTTTCAAATGAAAAGTTGGTCAGACTGTTTCAATTGAGAGGTTTATTAATCTATTTTCAAATGAAAAGTTGATCAGACTGTTTCAGTTGAGAGATTTATTAGTCTATTTTCAATTGAAAAGTTGGTCAGACTATTTCAAAAGAAGAATGAAAGACTTTTGTGTATAAAACACCTGATTTTTTTCACACTAGTTCAGTAACTAGATTAGATTTTTGAAGAGAATCTAATAAACTAAAAGTGATTTTTAAGATAAATCAATAAAATCTTTACAAACTCTTTCTTGGGATACAGTGAGGAAAAGTATGATATTAATTGATAATAAATCAGATAATATGACAGTTTTGAGAGAAAAACTGACAAAAAATAAGTCAATTTTTTACAGAGAAATTGATTAAAACTATTCAATTTTATTCTGAATTATTCAATTCTCCTCACACAACAAGTGTGCAACTCAAATCAGTCAATAAAGAGTGTAAAAGAGAATTAAGTATTAATGAAAGCTCTTCAGTCACTGAAAAAGTAATTCTTACTTAAAAGAATATGAAATTATGACAGAAAACAACTCTGTTTTTAATTCTTTATAAGAATATTATATAAAATCCAGAGAAAAACATCTTACTTTTTCAAGAGAAGTAAAAAACTATTTCTAAGATCTTTTTTTTATTGCATTAACTGCTGCAGAAGAATGAGATAGAAACTGCTAAGATATGCACTACTGTATACTCTCTATCAAGACTTTCCCTCTTCAGAGTCTTGATATTATAGAGAATATAAGTCTGTTTCTATATGATAATGTAAATATTATCAGTGAGATGTAGAGGAACTGATTATTTATATCTCAAAATAGAAGACTTTGTCAATGATTATATCAATATAGAGTTAATTCTCAAATTCAATAGAAACCTAGTGTTGCTGTTCTCAATCCCTTGCAGAATCTATTGAATATTGAGGTATTAAAACTAGATTTAATATATCTCACTGTGCAGGGATCAAAGGCTCAGTCAGACCTTGGGGTATACTGATTTTATAGTTGTCGTGTCTGCCGATTATGTATCGAGTACAGTTGCTGAGGTATCTTTTTGTACTTTTCTGTCGGGGATGGGCCAGGTTGAGAGGGGTGGTACAAGGGTGAGACTTGGCGTTGATGTCTAGATATGATACACTGAAGACAGACCGCGGAGGTTGCACTTCAGAAGTGGCTGTTGATTATGTGCTTGATATTATCGCCGAGGTATCTTTTTGTATTTTTCTGCCGGGGATGGGCCAGATTAGGAAGGGCGGTACGAGGGTGGGACTTGGCGTTGGTGTTTTGGAACATCAAAGGTGGGCAGGGTTTTCGCGGAGGTCGCTCCTCAGATATCTCCACAACTACAGATCAGGGATCTTCCAAAATCGAGAAGATTGGTGCATATGGCTAGGTCTCTTCACCTTACAATTTGTATGGCAATTTGGCCCGGGGTTGTGGTGTGGTAGGGGGGAATGGGGGATAGTCCCACACAGGAGTTTCGAACGACGTCTGGTTCATGTTTGGCTGGATAACTCCACCACCACACGGGGTATGCAGTCGGTGATGGGGTCAAAATGCTCGTATGATCGAGGGCTTTTCGATGGATCTATCGGCGGGTTCTTATTCGAAAAATCGAGCGAGTTCGTGGTGGAGCGGTTGTATAAATATTCATCTTAATTGCTGATTCTTGCACTTTCTCTTTCTTTCCTTCTTTAACATTTTTATCTTTGTTACATAAGACCTATAATATTATACTGATCTATTCAGTGTAGGCCTCTTACACTATAAAAATGTTCATCATCTTCTTATTAGAAAATGATTATTCATACATTATCTTCTCATCAGAAATGATTATTCATCAAGAGATATCTGAACATGTAATAATGTGTAAGAAATAGAGAAACAGTCAAACAGTTAAGCAGACACTAAGTCTTCAGATAGAAGCTTACTTATCAGTCACTCTAGCTCTGTAATAAGATCTTACAAAGAGAATAAGATCTTATAAGAGAATATCAGTGAAAGATCTGAGAGTTCTGACACTCAGATATATGAGAATATGATTACACTTCTTCAGATTTCACAGATATTATACATTCAATAATTGATATAATCATGTCTAACAATAATATAGAACTCTTAAACACAAGTATAGATATGATATCACAGTGGCTCTAAGCAATGTTGAAATTACAATAATAATAAATAGCTGATATACATACAACTCAATAACTTCAATACAAAGAGATTCAATAATTAACTCATGCAATTTCAATATCTACAGAATCAAATATAAAAGCACTGAAAGAATACTTAGATACTTCTATATATTTTAATACTTCTGATCTCACTCTCTACTCATTATAAAGAATGAAAATGCTTGTAAAACTGAGTGTAGATGAAGATTTCATCAGTTCATTAATTAATCAAGATTGATATATCAATGAATAATTAAAGAATCACATGAAACAGAAGTTTCATTTATAAATGAAAGCATGTGAATCAGTGTTATAAACATCTGATAATATTATCAAATATCTTGATATTCTGTTCTGAGACACTGCTATGCAACAGAAAGTATTAGATTAATTACAGAGTATCTGACAGAGAAATACTTCTCTTATAATATTCATCTCTGACTTCAATATCAAGATTCTAGAAGCAGGTGATTAATCTTGAGAGAATTGAATGAAGATTAGCATGCTCAAGAAGACATTAACTTTTGAACTCTTACAGACTCTTATAAGTGTAGATAAAGACCAGACTTATAAAGACTTCTACACACAGCTTCAGATAATAAATGACTATCTTATCAAGCTCAAGAATATACAGAACAGTGACAGAAGATGTTATATCTCAATAACTTATACACTCACACTGAGAAATAACAATGATGCAGATGTCATGAATTGAGTAGACTTGAATATCTACATATAAGCAAGAGTCTTTACTGTCTGAACAGACTTTCAAGTCTCTGAGATCACTTCTGAAGAAGTCACTGATTGATATCAACATGAAGTGTGCATCAACTATAACTGATCAGAACATATTACTTTCAACTGCTAATTAATCTATGTATCTTCATACTTGAGAGAAAGATCAGTGTCTTCTCATTTGAAGAATGAATCAGTGTCTGTTCACATCAATCATGTTACATTAGAGAAAGATTTGAAAGATAACTATGAGAATATCATGATAAAACAGAGAAAAGATTAGCTTCTGTTCAAATTCACAAACAGAAGCTTGAAGAGATTGAATAATAATAATTTGAAGAGAAGATAACAATGAATACAATTCTTGTATCTACTGTGATTGATAACATATATAATATGAAAGCCATGATAGACAGCAGTCTATGTCACTATGCAATGATAAAATCTTCAGTCATAAGATATCATAACCTTCAGTGTATTTCTTTATCAAAACCTCAACTCCTTGCAGGATTTGATGATTTAAAAGACATTTGTACTCATTACATGATGAAGCTGACTATAGATGTGAGAGAACATTAACATGAAGATGTCTATGCATATGAAGTTAATAATCTTGATTACAATCTTATGTTAGAACTTGCCTGACTATCTGAATAAGACATTTTATTGAACATGTCACGCTCCCGGCCGCGCCAAGGCCCCGTTGCGGTTCCACACGGCTCATTACTTTCATGCGGATGATTCCATTCTATCTGAACCAGTTTTCAACCACTCTATGACATCATTTGAATATATCATAGAAAGATCTGATTGATGAATATGAGAACTCTGCTTCTATACAAGGTCAGCACATTACTTTTCCTTAGTAGTGAGACACTGCTGAGATATTACTCTGACTATTCTCACTTGTGAAATGAGAGAAGAATATCTGCTTATTGTCTATATAGAATAGCTAGATACTGACTTCTTATAAAAGAAGTCAGTGATTTATTTTTTCTTCTACTGAAATATATATAAGAGTTACTGCATGTCTCATACAATCTTCTTAGTATACTAAGTATTATATCTGTAATATTCTCATAATAACTCTGTAGTCTACAAGCTCACTATTCAAGCAAGATAGTTAAGTTCACTTATACAGCTTCTTAAATAACTATCTCTATATAACACTGCTGACTAGTCACTGCTTCAGTTCTGCTATATTACAATTCAAATTGCTTAATCTGATTATAAGTTTGAATCAGTCAAGCTCTAATAGATTAATATAATTTCATTTCATATACCTGCACTGAGACTGATCTGATCTCACTCTCTGAAGAAAATATCATATCATTCTCTAGAGTGTATACATCTCTACTCTGGCAGAAATCTGAGATTTCTGAATCTGCTGTACATTTTAACATGAGCTCTTCAACTGCTCTATCACTGCCACAGCCTCTACACACCTACATCTATTATGAAGATAGAGAGATTAAGATCAGAGATTCTCTGAGATATAAGAGAAATATCTTGTCTGAATTTCACAGCTTTATCTGTACTCTTGAACAGAAATTCCATCTTAATCTGAGCTAGTATAATACTTATGAGATATGAGTAATATACACTGTCAACCTTCTTGAAGACACCTCTGCAACTACTTGAATTATCAAGAAGAGAAAGCTTGAGTGTATCAATACTATTATAACTTAAGAAGAATTCAAGAACTTTCTACTGAATTAAATTAAAGATCACTGTAATTACAGCTTCACAGTGATACAGCAGTTCAACTCATTATATCAATGAGATAATAAGAATTCTTTCAATTTCAATATAAGATTTGAAGAATATTGAGAGAAATTGACTGATGATTTGAATTAATTAAAAACACAGCTTTATCTCACAAAGCTGACTCACAAGGTGCAGACAATGATATTATAATATCAGAGTTCATTAATTAATTACACTGAGCTTATCAACCTGACTTTCTGAATCTATTTGAATAATCAATTCTCTGAGAAAAAGACTAATAAGACTTCTTCTAAGTAATTAATAACAGAATCTAAACAGTGCTGTGACAGCTTCAGAGTGAAGAAAATAAAGAAGAATTTTAAGTATTCTGATTCTTCACTCACTGTAAAGAAATGTTAAAAAAGATTTGATAAAGATCTCTATTTTAACTGTGAAGCTGATAAATACTATATCAGTGATTGTAAGAAGCTGAAGAAGAGAAGAAACTGAGAAGATATTTTCTCAAAATCAACTCCTCTTCTGACAAATGTATTCACAGAAGATAAAGAAGAGAAAGAAATGAAGAATTGATAATTCTTATATCTCTGAGTTTATATTATGATTATAATGTATACTCTGAATGAGAAAATATCAGTGAGATGTCTACTTGACTCTGAGATGAATATTAACTTCATATTCTATTTCTTTTCTTTGATGAAGAATTGAAAGAAGATAGACTTATCAGATTATATGAAATTTACTGATGAAATAAAATGTCACTGTTTTAACATAATTCAAGTGAAGTGTGTGATCACAGACTTAGAAGAAATCTTCAAGAAGAGCAGTCTGCTTCTTCACATAGATAATATTATAGATAAGAACATTATTCTAGATCTTCTATGATTGAGAGAAAACAATTCTCTCATTGACTGAGTCACTCAGATGTGACAGTATTATCTCACTGATAAAGAGATAGTGATAGAGAAATCTGAAGAGTTTCATTGAAAGAATCTTGAGAAAAAGATAGAGTTAATATACTGTATAGCAGGTGATTGAGACTTGAGAATAGATGAAGAAGTCATCACTCTCACTGCAAGATTAGCAGCAGTATCTGTTATTAAAGATGAATGTATATGATGTCTCTTTACAGATTATAAGAATATCTTTTTGAAAAGAAAAGTAGTGAAGTTTTCTGATATCAAGATACAATATAAGATTTATCTTAAAGACAGTGTAACAGTGCTGTATGAGTCTCTTTATAACTTGTCTGTAAAGAAATTGAATATTCTGTGTAAATATCTTGAAGAAGTGCAATCAAAGAACTGAATATACTTATCAAAGAGTCTGACAGAGACATCTATACTCTTTATACTCAAGAAGAATGATAGACTATGTCTATGTGTAAACTACAGAGATCTTAATAAGATGACAGTTAAGAATTACTATTCATTACTGTTAATTGATGAGATAATTGATTGATTATCTGAAGCAAAGATATTCTCAAAGATTAATATACAGAATATCTATCATAGAATCAGAGTTAATAAAGATGACATTTAGAAAACAGCTTTTTGTACTAAGTATGATAATTTTAAATATCTTGTTTTATTTTTTGATCTTTGTAATGCTTCAGTCATCTTTCAGATCTATATAAATGAGATACTGTGAGGCCTTGTTGACATCTTCTGTATAGTATATCTGAATAACATTCTAATCTTCTTGAAATCAGAGAAAGAACATGATACTTATGTTTGAGAAGTGTTAAGTTGCTTGAGACAGTATTAACTCTATACAAACACTGAAAAATGCTCATTCTATATACAGAAGATTGATTTCTTAGATTATATTATTGAGATAAATAACATTTCAATGAACAGAAGCTGAGTCTTCATTATTAAGAACTGGCCAGTGCTGTGAATATACTGTGAGATATAGATGTTTCTAGAATTTATGAATTTCTACAGATAATTCATCTATATATATTCACAGATTACTATTCTTCTTACAGATCTATTAAAGAGAAGTGTGAAAGACAGAAAAATAAAATCATTTATTCTCACTCAAGACACTATGCAGATGTTTGTAGAATTAAAACAAGCTTTTACAGATGTTATAATACTGAATCACTTTAACTCTGACTTACTCAGTCAGTGTAAGACTGATGTATTCAGAAATGAGATCTGTGAAATCTTTTCACAGTTGATACTGAAGATCTTTCAATATTGAAAGAATCAGAGAATAATCACTTCTGAAGAAACAGATAATGAATTATCTGTGAGAGAAGACTTTTTTACAGAGTTTATAAGATGCTGTGAATAAAGATCAGTAATCTTCTTCTTCAAGAAGTTATCACTCATGCAGAGAAGATATAATACTCATGATTAGAAGATATTAGTAATTATCAAATCTTTTAAGATCTGATAATATTATCTTCAGAATAGTAAGTACTCAGTGTAAGTTCTCACTGATTATATAAATCTGTGTTACTTCTTAACAACAAAGAGCTTGATAGAACATTAAGCTAGGTGAGTAGAGCTG